TAAGAAACAGTATTAGAGATCACATCTTAAACATCTGGTCCGTTTGTTCAAAAATGAATGTAGAGAGCGTAATTTGGTAGACGATTCTATTAATCTAAGAAGGGACAAAGTAGGACGACAAATTTTGACTATTTTATTTTAAGTTTAAGACATCATCGTGAATCCTTTTCCCCCAAAGCTATATATAAAGGGGTGAACATCAAAAGCTTAGAACATTAGATGTACTATGGACCTATGATCTGGTTGAAGAGATGTCAGTGTAGAACGTAAATTATGTCGAGTGTTCTTGATCATCTCATGTTATCCCAAAGCAAGACGAGATTGTTGAGTAAGTTTTATTTTGGTGGCTTAACATATAAGACCTTGTTTTTTTCAAAAAAAACATATAAAAACATCTACGACATTGATTATGTAAGTGCCGGTGTCTTCTTCCGTGTTAAAAGCAGCTGCAAATATCACCGATATATCAAACAAAGAAAAGAGTAAATAAACAACTTTGGAGAGTTTAGATATTGGAATCCAATTATCTTCGGATTTATGTTTTTTTTTTGTTTGCTAAGAATGTTAATATCAATAGAAAGAAAGGTTTAGGTATTACATGAGTGCCTCAGATCCATGTTGTAAAATTCTACCGAGTACCATCTTAACTTCTGTTGGTCTTAGACCGAACATTACTCGTAGATTTGCATAACACAAAAATGATCACAAAAAATATATGTGTAACTACTTGTTCAATACCAGAATCTACAAACCCTACTATTACATCCAAGGTCATCGATACAAGGAATATCAAACCAAAACCAAATGAGTTGATCTGAGAAGTAATTCAGTTGAAACATTGATGATGTGTGATAAAACTAAACCACAGTAGAAGAAATAGGAAATTTATTTAGAAAGAACATGAGAGATTATTTTTATCTTAAACACTCCCAGCTCCTTTAATTGCAGAGATGATTTTGTCTTGTCGTCCCAAGAGAAGGTCCCAGCACCGATATCACCATATCCGCTGGCATTATCGAAAAAGTTACCATGAGGCGACCAACGAAAATCTAAATGACAGAAGCACCTGCTTATGAGAATATGAAGAGAGAATCAGATGCAAGTAAAATACATGTTCAACGTACCTGTAATCGAAGGTCAAGTGCGTTTGAGTAAACTCGGACTCCAGCAATCTTGCAGCCTCAAACCCTTACAGAGCGATAAGTACAATACTAATCATATCTAGAGCCCGGTAGAAACAAATGCTTTGTTAAGTATTAACTAAAACATCTTACTTACCAGGTTGCAGGGATCTTGAATAGTAGTCGGTCGTTCGGTACATCGATTTCGTTGTATAGGCTGAACAGATTGTGAACCTACTGTACAAACATCAACACGATCGTATAATCATATGTCAGAGATTTAAAGATACATAAAACACGTACTCTGGTGTCTCAGATTCCTCAGAAACAGAGTAAAATGGTAACTCGCCAAGGCACTGTTTAATGGTTGAAATGCCACTCTCAACTTCCGAAAGAGATAGGCAATACTCCCCAATAATCCAGAGTGCATAAGGACAGACTTTTCCTGCGCGGATATGATAGAACGTGTCCAATAACCTGGTTATGATTGAAACTCTTGACTTGGGATTTGTTTCTATGATCTCTCTAACAAAAACAACCACGTCAAGAGCTGAAACCACATTACTATCTCCCAAGAAATCCATTAGAAGATGAACCACTGTGCTTGCAACTTCGGGGAACTTAACCGCACAAGCATGGATTGCTTGAATAAGCATTTGTCTATATTCTCCACTCTGTGTCTTGACAAGTTCTTTCTTCAACATATCAACGACCTCATTAATATTATGATGAGTAATCAAGTCAAGAGCAATGTCAAGTGTCTTCCTTTGGATATCAAGGTTCAGGGTTGAGAGTGCTCTAAGCACATCTATTATCAACTCAACCATGATATCTCTGTGCAACGTCTTAAGCTCATTTAGCCGATCGAGTAAAATAAGCTTCACATTGTTGTCACTCTGAGAAAGAGGAAGTTGGCAGTAGGTATTGGCAGCAGCCCTAATAGCAGTAGGAGCAGATGAGAGCGAAACAAGCGTACCAGCGCATTCATAGATCACTGCATAACAAGTAGCACTTAACAGAGATATAATAATCTTAATATATTTCCCCTTCTCTGCTGGTTTATTCTTACACACACTTCGAATCAACTCCAAAACCACCATCTGAAGTGATTGATTCCATTCAGAAACCTTGTCAACATTGCTCAGAAGATAGTTCACCGCTCGTTCTTCAGCACAAGTAAAGAGCATTAGAAATGCATTTCTCTTTGCAGACGGATCTTGTTCGGTTAATAGAACATTCTCTATCATTTCAGGTGCATCCACAAAGAGTTGATCACCTTGTGGAAGCTTATAAATCGACATGATAGCCAGAATTGCATTCTTACGAACAAATGGATGACGATGATCCAGATTATGCAACACTGATGGAGTCAAAGGCTCAACTATTTCAGTCTCTTTCAACCGGCAGAGAAACCTTAGCGTCAGTCCACGAATGTACACGTTCGGATGGTGAAGGTTATTCCGAAGATTCTGACATACCAAAATCATTTCAGGCAGGACCTTCCCGTTTCAATCAGCTCTAGGTACAGAAACAAAAGCTTTTGGATTATGTGGTCCTCAGAAGGAAGCACATATCTTATAATAGTTGTGAAAAGCTGCAGAATGGTGAAGCTGTTGAGCAAAAGCATAACGGATTTCTTCATGGTATCGACTTTCGCTTCGATATCGTTTCCTTGGAGAGCTTGTTTAATCTCATTGGTAACTGCTGGAGTTCCTTTGCCGTAGTGTACAAGCAAGGTACAAGATTTGTCCATCTTTCTTATCCGGTGCTACAAAAAAAAAAGTGAAAGAGAAACCAAAATGAAGAAAACTTATGAGCTCAAATGAAAAAGGGAACCATACAAGAACAGAGGATAGGAATCCAAAATCAGACTTTCACGTGCTTACAATCAATTAAAGACATAATGAGGTACAGAACAAATAGTAGCAAACAAGAAGTTATGCATAACAGAGAAATTATTAGTTTGTTCTATGTTCTAACATTCGCTTATCTTTGCTTACGTTTTTCACATTGCTAGGTTCTTACAGTGGACTCATTATAAATCTGATCAAAATTTCAGTAACTGAAAATGCTAGTTGGTACGAGAAATGGTAGGTCGATAATAACAAAAATTGTTAATATTTTACCTCCAGTGTTTGATATACGAAAAATGTTTATGGTAATGGA